AGAGAGAGAGAAAGAGAGGCCAATTGTATTTAGATAAGGAAATATGTTTTTAGTTGAAATTTCTCTTGTGTAAAGATTTGCTGACACGGTTATTCATTGACATCTCGAAGTGATAAAATTGATTAGTTGAAGTCTAGCACAAATCTTTCACTACAGTATTCCACTCAAATATTTCAGGAAACTTCAAAAAATAAAATATCAATATTTACATTTGATATAGTGTGCTTACATATGAGAGATTTTCACAGTGAGTATCAACCCTAAAAAATCATAGGTTTATATATCCACACACACACACACACACATATGTATGTGTATATATATATATATATATATAAAGAAAATCACTGAGAATTGTGTGCACAAGGTCCAACTTGAATTAAGCAATTGTTAGCAATACAATAATTGATTAACACCCCCCCCCCCCCATAAAATAAAATGATATTAGATAGTTGTTCTCCATTGCCTCATTTCAATTTAAGACCCAACGTGACTTTTCAAAATTCCAATAGAACTGAGACCTAGAGACACATTTGACTCTTTCCAAACCTCATTTACCCTCTGCTAATGACGGATATAAGCCACACATTTAAGTGCACAAATCCGGATATAAACTAGAGAAAACCCGGGTATCATGAATCGGGTGTCGAGACCGGGCCAGGGTGCTCAGGGTCTCAGCCACGGGTGGTGGATGAATGAGGAACAAATCTGGATGATCATCATGTAAATGGATGGATGAATTCTGAGTGGGACGAGGATGCTACTCGATGTCATTGCCCCGTTAACGAAGTACTCTTTCAACATAATGCAATCCCTGATCTTATTTATTTTTTAATCTATTAATTGGGTTAACTAATGAGTATATATTAAGGTATAGTTCATGTATGGAGGGAAAATGTGAAGTCAAGTTGAACAATCAAACTATTGTTTGGATTTCAAAGAATGCTAGAGAGAATACAAATAGGATTTTTTCTAATTGTATATCTAGTGAAACAATCCACATGTAGAAGATGAAAAATTCTTTGTCATCAATGTATTGTTTTCTCTACCATTTAGTGTGCTTGCCTATATTAGATGGACTACCATGCATAAAGTCTATATTTGCCGCTGTAACAATAAAATAATTAGAAGTAGAAACAAATATTTCACAGCTCTATTCATTTAACTCCAAAGTTTATTCTATTAAATTTATACACTTTCATTGGCACTAATGCAATAAAAATATGATCTCTAATTGTATTTATTGTATTATGCTTGATTTATTTATTATTTTTTTTCTTTTTTCAACTAACAATGTTAAAAATAGAAATATTTTAAGAATTATATTGATTAGAGGATTTTCTTATGTTGTTTGTGATGTGTAAGAATATAAACTTACTGGAATAATTGCGGTATTACTAAAATTAAACAAAATAAAAAACATGTATATATATATATATATATATATATATAAGGTCTCTAGCAGAAGAAGAAACTGCATCTTTATTTATTTTTTACTATCAGTTACATGAGTGTTAACTCAAATTTTTCTATTAGGCAACAATTTTTTTGATTTGTATATTGGAGCATTGCAATAAAAAAAATAAAAATAAAAACAAAACAAAACAAGAAAAAACAAGAATACCTTAACTGCTATTAAATAATAAAAGCAAATAATTTCATTCAGAAGATGTAATTAAAATCTTCTCAATGATTCATAGTTAAACTTTCTATAAAAGAGAAAAAGAAAAAGAAAAAGAAAAGCTAACAATTGTTTTAAAAACAACAAAAGATTGTATTAATAAGATTTTCTTCATGATTTAGCATACATGTATATAGAATAATTTCGTATTTTTAAAATTTAATAAATTCGAAATACATTACAAACATCTTAATACGTACATTAAAAAAAAAAAAAAAAACTTACTAGACATTTACAAAGATTTTATTTTTTTATTTTCTAATTTTCTAATTTTTTTTAGTTCGTCTTGTAGATTTTTCCAGGCTAAATATTGATTACTAAATATTGCAATGCAATAAGATTCTACAGAAATCGTATTTGTTTATTATCATTGAATAATTAAAGGAGTATAATATAACAAATCATTTAAACTCAATAATATTTAGAAATTTAATTTATATTTTAAAAATACATAATATTAGATGAAATATTTCCATGGAAATACATAATATTATCCGTAGAAACAATTTATACTTCTTAAGTTTTATTTTCGATTAATTCACAATATAAGTTTTGTAAATCATAGTACATTGAATTTCAAAAACAAAGTCTTGTATTTGAATTCTATCACATATATATATATATATATATATATATATATATATATAAGATATGACATATTCATCTAATTTTACAATAAATTTTAGTTTACAACCTTTTGGTTGTAATGCTTAGTAATCATTTGATCAAAGAATAGTCTAAACTATCTAAATTTAATTCTCTCAGATGTAGTATTTAGACATCACGTAAAATTGAAATTGAAAGGCATGTCATTAATTTTTTTAAAGTAGAGATTATTATACTTTTAGAAATTATAAATATATGATTCTAGTGAATATTACAAAAGTTACTATAAAACTATTGGTTAAATGAATAAACTGGTCAATTTTTAATACACAAGTACATTATAAAGAAAATCATTTTGATCCAAGAAATAGCCCAGTAGAAAAACAAAAAACAAAAAACAAAAACAAAAAAACAGAAACAAAAACAAAAAGAAGAAGTTAAATGTATTAAAGACATTCTTATATTTAACTAATTATTCTTTAAAATTTACAATCTTTATATTTTATTTTAGAATCTTTTGTAAATTAGAATGTTGTTGCTTTATTTATTGTTCCTTGAATGTTATAAATTTTATTTTTATTTTTTATCTATGATGAAGTAAGTTTGTATAATGGTATGGATAATCAATCACATGTTAAGTAGTCTATTATCAAACATACTAATATGCAAGATTGAATTGTCTTTAATTTTTGACTCTATATATTGTATTATTGAAATAAAATACAAAATCCAAAATATTTTAATTTAAATTATTTCTTTTCTGGTAATAATAGCTATTTAACTAGTGTATCTACTTTTTAAAATATTGATGGACTTTATAACCAAAATAGGCATTCCAAATAAACTAAAATTGAATGCAAGAAATAGTTTAATAATTAAGAAATCATCAAAACCGTCTTTAAATTCTATTTATATATATATATATAGCTTGTTTAAGCATCTAAAAACTCTATTTTTTTAACAATCACAATTAATAATATAGTTTAAGACATTAGTTTAGCTGAAAAAAAGTGATCTTAACAACATGATATTTGGACTTAACTGAAGCACTAATATTTGTTAAAGTAAATGATAAGAATAAGAATAATATATTTTTTTTAACATTATGGTTCAGTTGATATTTAAGAAGAAGAGAATCTTGTCTAAAACATTAAAAGCCAAGTAATTTTGAGAAGGTAGTTTTGCTTGTCCAACATTATGAGACAATTGATTTGTCATGTTTTGTTTAATTTCTTAAATCAATCAATTGAACCAATTTTTTAGTTACTTTTAATCAAGAAAGAAAGACTCTATATTCTTAGGGTATACTAATAGCAAAAAAGACAAGTAAAAACACAACAATGCAAATCTTTATACATGCAAAAATATTATATATATGTATACATATATATATATATATATATATATATAAGGTATTTTTTTTAAATGGATTTTTTTGTATTTGAGACATAAATTTAAACATCTAAATAAAAAATAGTATGTTAAAAATAAAGACAAATATTCTTCTTTTTCAATCGTTATTTTTTTCTAATCCAAATTTACAAATCACTTTCCATGTTTTTGAACTTTTATTCTCATAAATATAAAAATTAAAGGTATTTTATAACCTTTATTAAAATACACTCAAGTCCAAGGCCATAAAGCCCAACAAATTGTAGTATGGTTACTGTAATCCTGTTGCATCCGATTTACAATAATCTATTTAGGTAAACTACACTTCTTTTATGTAATACTTTGTCAAGATATATTTATCACTTTTCTTCCTTGAAATCTATAAATTCCTTTACCAGCTAAAAAATGGTATAATACATCTTAGTATTATTTTCAAATTTGTGTTAGTTTAATAGATTAAAAATCTTCCTTCATATTGAAATCAAGTTTGACTTTATTATTCAAGCATAACAGAATGGCATTCTAGCATGGAAGAATCATGGACAAATCTGGTGGGAACTGTTGCTTTATTCTTTTTCAAGGAAAAACAACTATTTTTATTCTAATTTTAGTTTTTTAATTGTAAGAGGGACATTTGATTGGTGCATTATGTATACTGCTCAAGTGGAAACCAAAATGACCTTTTGGTGAACTCATGTTTGGAAACAAATCTTCAACAACAATTTTCATTTACAAGAGAGAAAAGAAGAAGAAGAAGAAGAAGAAGAAGGAAAACCCATCATCATGGAACCCTAAATTTGGTTACTTTGGTTCCAAAACAATGATATAATTTGTGCATCCTTCTATTGTTTGTTATAATGACAAATTCGTTATCACCATGAGAGACACATCCTTCTTAAATATAATAGAAAAATGCATCAATCCTAAACCTAGAAACAAATAAATACTGACACACGCTTCCACAAACACATCAAATCATTTAATGACATTTGACAACATGCAAACTAAGACAAATCACTCATCCTCATCTAGAAAAACAAAAAGAAAAAGGAAAAACAAAAGAAGATTCTCAGCTCCTTTTGGTCGCAAGCAAGTTCACCTATACATTCATCAACGACCACTTCATCCACATCAAAACCCTCCAAGACACCCACACATCCATCCAACTGCTTATCCATAAGTTATCCACCACCCATCCACCATCCATCCAATAATTCATCCACAAGCATTCAAATATCGATTCATCCATCCATCCATCCAGCAGGTACCTCTCGCGGCGCTTGTGCGTGAAGACGAGGGAGCGAAGAGTTTCGATGGGATTCCGCAACGAGACCGAGTTGTTGTTCTGATAAAGGAGGAAAATTTCAGTCACACACAGGGTCGACAATCAATCTATCAATCAATCTCATGGAAATGGAGGAGCTTCAACGGTTTTCGGGTGAAGAAGCTATCTATCTGTCTGTCTGTCTGTTTGGATTTTGCGACGTCGTAACCGTCGTCATCTCACCATCGTGGGTCCTCTATGTGGACCAAGGTCAACACTGTAGCTATATGAAATGAATGACCTTTCAAACTGGTGACAAATAAATCCCCTGTGTGTGTGTGTGTGTGTGAGAGAGAGAGAGAGAGAGAGAGAGAGAGAGCGTGAGTGAGGGTGATGCAAGGATTGAGACCCAACGAGAGGGGTGAGACTGCTACGCCATGGAGAGTAATCTGACGTTGATGCTGGAGGCTCTCGCTGGTCAGGGTTGCATCTTGCCTTCTGAACAGCGAGCGGCTTTAGATATTTCCCTCAAAATCAAAAAGCAGGACGCGGGTTTGAGCACGTTGGCTCTGTGGGGTAGAGTGTTCACCCGCACTGGCAACGATTACATTCTTGCGGAGGGGACCGTGAGCGCCAAGCGCGTGGATAGGAAACTGGTCTTCGACACCAAGTATTACTTCACGTGAGTTTCACCGGAGATCAATCAATAGATCAAACAATCAATCGACCAATTAGGGCATCGCGACGCTGCAATCATTTTGCTCGCTTCATCGTAAATTATTTCTCCATGAAACGAGGCTGATGGTTTTGACTTCCTGTGGTGTGAATTGCAGTCAAGACGGCGTGCTGTGGCTGGATCTGCAGCCCCCTGAGAACGATTATCGATACGCATTGTGCAAAAGTGCCAAAGGGCCATTCACAGGCGACCCCGCTAATGTGTTCCTGGTCGTTTCCGACCCAGTTGAGCCGTCTGAGTTCGAAAAACGTGATGCTTCTTCCTCCTTTTCATCTTCACCGTAATATTAACCGGTGTACGTTGTCGTAGCAAATGCCAGGAAGCATCAACTCAATGGAAATGGCAACCGAGTTGCTGCTTTCATTCCTCCTGAGGTTTCATTCTGTCTTGCCATCAGTTGTTGAGCCCGCAGTAGCGGGAGACAAGTCAAGCTCGTCCGTAACCGACGAAAAGACGGGATCGGAGGCGGATACAGAAGCCCCATCTGAATCTGAACCTGAAAATGATGATAACGACGAAGATCCGCCAGGGGAACCCGGAGAGGCGCAGGTCGGTTCCATACTGACAGCCGCTGTGATAATCCTGGTGCAAGCATTTGCGAACTCCTGGGATGAATTTTTCTCGACGTCTGTTTGCAGGTCATACCAGATGAGGAAGTCGTTGAGGGGGAGGGAGGAGGAGAAGGCGGCGCAGAGGGTGAATTGGAAGAGATTCCTGCTGGTGTTGAGGTCCCCGAGGTGGTTTCCATAACTTTCATCTCTCTGATCTTTCTACCGTAGGTCTATGTGACCGACGGATTTCTCAACTTCGGATTCTGTGTTCTAATTTTTGTGCCATGCGACCACAGCTCGAGAGATTATGTGGGTTGATGAAATGGATTGATGAGGAGTGTGGGGTGGTTCCGATTAACTCTCTGGTTCTTACACCTCACGACGACCTTATCAAAAACCATGCCTTCACAGGTAAGTACATTTCTATACCTGAAAGAGACGCCTCGGTTCTTGAGCAATTTAATTTTATTTCTCTGAAGTGTCTGTCATTTTTTACAGAGAAGATTTTATTGCATGTTGTTGCTACGCGAAATGTAGGTCCGATTTTTTTCGATGAGCTAGATTCATACTGTCATCTTTTCGGAGGATATATGACTGCGCCGCTCTCTAAAGACCTTCCAGGTTAGCTGTGGTTGTGGATCAAGGATGTGATTCTACCTCTGTTGTTGATTGAAAAAATGGAACTCTTAGAATAACTCGCTTATATTGGCTTTCGAACCATTTGTCTCTGATTTTGTGCCCAGGATCATGGGGATGTCATGTCATTCCGCTGCAGAATGACGTGATTGTGAAGAGCCTCGTCTGGCCAGGATATTTCTCGTATTACTCGACAACAAATCATGACTGGGGATCGATTTACTTTGGTTACGGCGAAAAGAATAATGATATTGGTTTTGGAGTGCCGTGATGTCGCCGTATTCTCTTCAGTTATATATATATATATATATATATATATATTTTTTACTTCTTTGTATTATTGAATACTCTCATAACTGCTCTCTTCTGGAGCTCGTCATCGGTGTCCTCATTGTCTCAACATGATGCAATTTGTTCCCATTCGAAGCACAATTGTATAGCTTAAAATTGCAATGGTGGTGCACTTCGACTCACTGTAGGGCACAGAAATTTAGTTCATGCCGTCCGCATCCGCACGTTTGGGTCCGCACTTGTTTGATGACTCGACTTAGTAAAATTTGCATTCATTTCTACATCTTAACAATGAAATGACAACCCATGTGGTAGTTGCTGATTGCGGCAAAGCAAGATGGCCGACGTGATGAAGCCTTCACGAGGGCATGTTTAACTGACGAGGGAGCTCTTAACCAGATTTCCGAATTAGATACTGAATTTGATATCAGGCACACCATTCTGACTGCACGATATCATGTTGGATCTGGGTCTCTTCATGTCTTCACAGTGCACGGCTTTTGGCCTCCTCTGGGCAACCATGTTTGGTGTGCAACGAATGGTAAACAAGGCAGCCTTCAGTCATGTGGCGAGGTTGCCAGAAGCACGAGGACCCTTTCTTTGGTACACTTAGCAATGAAAGGATGGGATCCTTGGAGACACACAGTCGCATCTGAGGTTGGCCTTTTCATGTCTTCACAGTGCACGGCTTTTGGCCTCCTCTGGGCAACCATGTTTGGTGTGCAACGAATGGTAAACCAGGCAGCCTTCAGTCATGTGGCGAGGTTGCCAGAAGCACGAGGACCCTTTCTTTGGTACACTTAGCAATGAAAGGATGGGATCCTTGGAGACACACAGTCGCATCTGAGGTTGGCCTTCACTTCTCTCGTCTAGAGACTCAATTAACGTCGGCCGCTGCATGCAGCGTTGTATGCACTGAAATTCTGGGATTGCACCTCCTTCTTCCCTTCAAAAGCATGACCTCATTTGCCGTAGCACAACCAAGTCGGTATCAAGGTATCTATTCTAAATAGTTACGCAGCTCAAATACAATCCTCAAACTCCACATGTAGGCGCTCTCGTGTCTCCCCATAGTGAATTGGTTCTTAAGGGGTATTCCTGCCTTGTTTGCATTTCCAAAAGCTTTGAGACCGTGGGGTCCAGTGATGGGATCTGGCGAAAATCCGTCCCATCTCTCCCACAGTAGTTGGGGTATAATTAAGGTTAAGGATCGCTGACCCTAGATTTCCTGAAATTCCAGACTAAATGTACCTTCCATTGTGACTGTCAAGTGGCAATGAAGTCACAAGGTTGACTCTAACCATTGGAATTCGCAGTTTCTGATCCGCATGCAAGCAACCTGTATTGCCTCACCTTGCATAGAAGTAGCAGCGCCTGGCTACAAAGAGTATAACCGTCAGAACCAAGAGTATCGCTGTTCATACCACAGTTTTTCAAGATTGTGATCCAAACCCAGCTGTAATACATCAAGACTGTCATCAAACAGAGTTCGTCAAGGAACATACTTGATGCACATATTGTGTTGCTCAACTTTCCGAAGCAAATACGCAAGGTTGTCGTCTGTAGCACGACCGAAAGGCTGGATAGCTGGTGTCACCCATGTCTAAATATATTACCCAGTTGGACAAAAATGAGGACAGATTTTCACTACGTCACTTCCCAGCGTAAGACAAGTGCAATATACAGAACTGCTGCGATGAGTTTATAACCGTTAAAACAACATGAAGTCAATTCGAAACGGAAACCGCTCAAACTTGAACAATTCTCCAAAGGAAGCTTATCTGGACCCAACAACGGCATCACATAGTCCAAGTGGTGCCGGTTCAGAGAAGCAATTTAAATGAGTAACCATACTTGTGATTAATCCTCTCTTTTCACTCCGCTGAGTACGTCACTCATGACCAACTTTAATACATTGAATTAATCGATCACTAGGTGTTAATACAAGGAGGGTCGACATACGATCGCATTAACACACGGATCACTTATCTCATAATGAACCCATGGCTGTAAGTTGTCAGCTCCAAGGACGACTTAATTGCTTCGTATGCTCCCGATTAATTTCTAGCTGACTTTGCATGTTAGCTGACTACGATGCCAATCAGTTTTGCAATTCAAAACCCAGAAGCAGCAGTGAGCAGTATTGGATGCACACAGGTCTCTCTTTCTGTAGCTACCTTAGCATGTGAAGCTCCTGGAGTGTGACTCTGCAGTTTAGCACAAATTATTAAAGACTTTTTCAGGGCTATTCATGGAAACTAATGCAAAACCAGGACTGTGGAAACTTTTGCCAGTAATTGTCAATAAAAACATATCAAGAGTAGAATCTTTTGGAAACATCCACATGCCAGCCTCTCTTTATAGCCTCACTTCCAGTCACTAAACCCTTTGTGATTAAGAGCTAATGAAGGATTCTGACAATATTGGTGCAAATTCAATCTATACAGACGATTTGTTTTTGTTTTTTTTTTTTTTTTAACTTGTTTTTTGAAAACATAATTTGGTTTATATTCTTGCTGTTGATAATACTAGAAAGAATTACATGTACTTGGAATTTGTTTCAAGACTTGAGGAAGAGGAGGAGGAGGGATGGAAATATGATTATTCTTCCTAATGGAGGGTGCTCAAATTGACTCACCTATTTGTTTGTTTGTATTTTATTCTTTTCTATTGTTTGATTTGTGGATCTTAAGAAATTTTTCAATTTTTTTTGACCTTTTGCAAAACATTTTATACATTCATTTTTTTTTAACCAATTAGTATTTTCATTTTTAAATAGTTTTTTTCATCATATTGATGTTCCTATTTTGCTGTTAAGCCATATTCCATTTTGAAGAGTATATATTGCAAAGTTCTCATATTATCTAAAAAATGTAAAGATCATATTATCATATTATTGATTTTATTCCAAATGTTCTGAATTTTATAGAGGATTAGAAGTAGGATGTTAAAGGATGATAAAAAGTTGCAGTGGCGAAAGAGTTTTTTTTTTTTTTTTTTTTTTTTTTTTTTGGTGCTTTGCAATATAATTTCCTAAATTAGAAAGATATCATTAAAAAAACTAATTGAATCTTAAGACACTTGATGTTTACAATGTATGCAAGAAAAATTGCAAATGTCTTTTTAAAAATATTCTATCTTCTAAGAAGGTATGCGTGTCTATTGTATTTTGTTCATTGAGTTTATTTATTTTTTACTATAGACATAAGCCCATCAAAGCATCATGAAAAAATATATTTAGAAGAGATTGCTTAAGAAGTTGCTTAAGATTTGTATCTTAGATATATAACTCTTTATTAGATATTGACTGCTTTTAGACTAAAAATGTTGTTTAAAGTAAAAAACATTTACTTTTTTTCATTTTACCAACTTACATTTTTTATATGCATTTTATTAAAAGAACATATTTGTACTCATTACAATTTCACAAGTCTCAAAATTTTATAATTTATATATTTTATAAATTTTTTCTATTATAATATATATATATATATATATATATATATATATTATATGTAAAAATATTTTATATATGGATATGGTATTTAAATTTTCTAAAACTAAATACATAAAAAATCTATTAAACGACATTTTAAAAGAGGTTTTTACATCTAATATTATTACAAGGGAAAATTTCAGTATTAAAGATTTAATAATGATAAGTTATGCCAAATGTATATTTTTTGTTACAATATTACTCAACATGCCATGTTCTTCAACAATATGAATCTTATCTACTTTATCTTTTTTGTGTGTCACAATATATACATAATAGTGAAATATTAAAAATATACTTAGATGAAAAACTATTAAAAAAATAGTTTTTTATATTACACAACATAATAATAATTATGCATTTTTATATGATTTTTTTTAAATTAATTTTATTTTACAGTTTTCAGCAAAATAAATGCTTACCACTTTAACTTCATATATACATACATAATTATCTATAGGAACTATTTAAAATGTATGTAATAATCATATATTTAAACATATAAATAACTTTTAAACTTAAATCTTTTATTTGAGTTTTTTTTTAAAAATGTATTATTTTTATGTTGTTTTTAAAGTATTTAGAATTGTTTTATAGTTTAATATGAAATATTTAATTTATTTTGGAAACTCACGTAATTATTAATCAAAAAAATTAATGAATCTTCTTCATATGATTTAATTACATTTAAATATAATATGTTTTTAAATTTATTTATTACAAAAACTATATGTGATTTAAATTTGACCACAGCTTTTCTAAGTTGACAAACTTTAAGCATTTGTCATCTATTATAATAGAAGCTTTATATAAAACTCAATGAACTCTACTATTTGCTTGCCTGTTTTATACTTTTATAACTAATTCCTGAGATTAAAAATTAATAAGAAAAATTGTGATAACAAAACACATCAAAATATATAAAATATTTTAATAAAATTATCAATTATTTAAAATAAAATAAAATTCTATTCTACTACATTATAAATTCGGTTTCTAAACTAATAAAAAACAATCATTTGTAAAGATTGACATATCAAAAATATTCAGATAGACATACATGAAGTAAAAAAGAAAATAAACACATGATAAATAAAATATACCACATTGACATAAAATAATAATTTTAATTTTTAACCATTAGCCTTTGTTTTATGTAAATGTATACTTTCAAAGTCTCAGACGTCATTTAATTTAATTGTCTTTAAAAACTCTACTACTTATTTATTTTATGTTTTTCAAATTTAAATTATAATACTTATCTCTTTTAGCTTGATTTTTTATTTTATCACGATCTCCAATAATTTTGTATTTAAAGTATTTCAAATAAATATACACATATAAAAGAAATGATATGAATGATTTCTTTGGCTTATGTTACATTTGATAGTTATCTTAAATAGAATTTAAAACTCATTTATAATATACCAAATTCATAATAAAATCTTCATTTACTTTTTAAAAATTAACTAAATAAAAAATTATTATTACATTAAAAACTAAAACTGAAAAAAATATTTTCTATCAAATTTAAATAAAAATATAAAATTTCACAAAAATTCTAATAATCTTTTATAAGTAACTATATAACATTCTCTTAAATAATATATATATATATATATATATATATATATATAAAATAGGACTATTTAAAAAATAATATGATATAATAACTATTTTAAATTCTTTAAAAACCTTAAATTGAAATCATTTTGTATTTTGCAAGATCTTAATAATTTATTTTTTTATAATATGTATTTAAAGAATTTAGTAACATTTTTAAAAAACTAACAAAGACATGGATTATTCTAAATCTACTTTTAATATATTTAATTTTTTTGTATATATATATATATATATATATATATATATATATATCAGATATTATTAATGCCATTGCAACTTGCGAGTGTGATTTTTGCTAATGCCACCACAACTTGCCACCTACTTAACATATTTCTTTATTATTTTTTATTCCAATCATTTTATTTATTTATTATTATTATTTTTAATCAAATGATTTAAAAGATATCAAACAAGAATGACATGTACTTGATATAGGATTGTAGTGATAATAGGAAAAATTGTGGTGCCCTCAGCAATGTCTTATATATATTTATATATATATATATGTATATATATGATTTTTTGTATAAACTAAAATTATGCTTTAATTTATTAAATAAATTTTAATAATTTGATTGTATATACTTCAAAAATATTACTAACATAAATAAAAACATACATATTAAATTATTTGATTTTATTTGACAATTAAATTATTTATAATTTTATTATCTTTTTTTTATTGTGTTTTCATACATATATACTATTTTTGCCTCAAATAAAAAAAAAAAAAAATTGTAAAGATTAAAAACCACCTCTAAGTAAAATATATAAATGATTCTCCAAAGACATGTCATACTTCTAATTTATTGAATACAACCAGATAAGAACGCACACCAATTATTGTAAATGAACATCATGAGTAGAAAAAGAAAAAGGAAAAATTATTTTACTTTTTAAAGTCTTGATATTGCACAGTTTTTGGAATGAATGTTGTAACTTTAGCACATTTTCTTATGTTCTTATTGATTTATTGAATAGTTTTACGTATGAGTTGGATTAGGTAGCAAAGAATAGAAATTTAATAACCATCGTTAAACAATGAGATGCCAAAGTTAATGTTTAATTCATTGACTAACAAATTTAGTTTGGCTGTGAGCTTAGTACGTCAATTTTGGGCCACAAAAAAATACACCCAAATTAAGGACCATTATATATATATCTATATATATATATATAATAATTTTGGATCTGGTGCCATGTTCTAGAAGAAGGCCATATGAAATGGAGAACAAGAGTGGCTGCAGGATCTGTGATGTTCGTTCCCAGGCATTGGGCACGTGATGTTCCCATGCATGCAAAGAGGGTACCCAATCCCAGTTCTGAAGGAATCCTTCTGGTGCCCAAGTGGGGAACAAGTGCAGAAAAAGAAGAAGAAGAAGCTTCCAATGCGTTCCCATGTCACACTTTTATTGCTTGTTCTTAAAAATTATAAATATTTTTAGAAATTCCAGTGATGAATTATTGATAAAATTAAAAAAAAAAATTATACACAAATTACTCTGATAATAATGATAATATTTTGGATTTGATATTTTATTAACTAATCTTAGCCTTAAATTTTGTATTTCAATTAAAAAAATAGTTATCTACTTTTTTTTATTTCTAAATTTGATAAAAATCCTGAATTATTTAATATACATAAATTTATTTTAAATATAATTATCCAGTCACTTTATTATTATTTTTGATACATATTTTAAAACATTTTATACAAATACAATATCATACTAATTTTGAATTAAAATTGATGCATAAATATTTAATTGTTTGACACATTCATATATATAAATATAAATATATATATATATATATATATATATATATTTGTTATTTTTTGTATTCATATAAATTATCTCTATGCATACATCTCAATTATACGAATTATAAGTTAAGACTGGTTTTTATGCTCAGATATAACATCTTTAATTCAAGAAGTACCAAGCTATAGTTAATTGTTAAAAATTTGGTCTCATAAAAGTAATATTTCTATAACTTTGTACAATGAGGTATAAGCCAAAAATTGCAAATTACTATTATTATTGTTACCTGGATCACATTTAAAAAAAGACTACATTGGAGAAATATTAATGTGATCTAATAATTATCTTTACCACCCTTTTGTGTTTATAATTTTTTTTAAAATGAATATTAAATTATTTATTATAATACACCGTGAGTATTAAAGAAAACAATAGAATCTCAAAATGAATTTAGAATTTTTAAATTGTTAACATCTGCATTGGCTTTTTAATATCAAATGTGATTAAATTTTTTGGCAGTTTAAAACTAGACATGTAATCAACTTCAAATTATAACAATTCATTATAAAACCATCATTTATGTAAAAAATATAATAAAAAAATTAAAATCTTATGATTAATGTATAAAATATTTTTGATGTCCAAAAACCGATAACGTCTTTGTAATGTAAAAACGTAAATTGTTAAGACAATCTAACTAAATGTCCTTTAATATAATATCTATTTATGTACAATTATTTTACCATGATTTTTGGCATGAACAACTGTGTCTAAATTGAATTCATTGATTATGAGAAAATCATTTAATAAATGCTTCAAAATTTTTTTCTTTTAATAAGTAGAAATTACTTTAAGTTCCAATAAATTCTTCTTCAATTGAAATCTACAAATTAAGTAAACTTCAACTCTTCAATGATTTCTTTTTGATTTTTTAAACACTAGGAAGAACCATCTTATTGAAAGTTTTGAATCGACAATCCACCTTGTGCTCTAAACCCCCTGTTTTAGATCAAATATAGACATTTTTAATATATCTATTATACATTTTGCCTATCCTAGTCCATCTCCATGTGACACATGAATGATTAGGTTCTTAAGTAGGACTCCATATTGCCACTTAATTTTTTTCTTTTCTTTTGTTCTTGTATAGTATTTTCTGCCATCCTAGAATCACCCTACCCAAGGAAAACAGTTTCATAGTTTAGATTTTTCTTAACTTTCTCCTCAATTTAAATTTCTCAAATATTTATCAAAACTGGACCACACAAGCTGGACAATAATTCCTCCGAAAATCTTTTTTCAAGCACCTTTAATTTCTTTGTATCCAAACTGACCAAAAACAAATGCCTTTCAAATTGTCCATCGGACTCAAAATGTTATAAATCTAGATAGAAACCTTTTTGCAAATATAAATGGTTTCTACATAAAAGAAATTCCAGGGCCCCATCTTCAAGAATTGGTGGCAAGTTTATTAAGGTCCTCCTTTGTTTTCATATTTAATGTGAACAATTCACCTTTATCAAACATCAGGGTAGACGTGAAGAGGCTCGAACTTATTGGGTGGTTTGTAGCAAGGTGTTAAGTTGGATGACATTAGTGTTACAAGTTGAAAGAATTCATTTCTCTCTTGTTAAAACATGCATTGCCATGGCATGGAATATGCTTCCAGCTGAAGGAAAACCATGCACAAATTGGGCAACTCAAACAATGTTATCACTTTCCTGTGCTTCAAGTGAACTCCGTTTCTTTATCGAACAAATTAGTTTTTGTCAGATGAACGATGTCGACAGGTTTCAGAAGCGAGTTCGTCTGAGTTGCAATGGACCATTTCCATACCAAGACAAAAGATGAGAGTGAACATGAAACTACCTGATACAGGATCTTCATAAATAGGATCGAACCATCGAGTACAGCATCCCTTAAGCTTGTGAAGGTTTCACCAAGGCCTTAAAAACCTCAAGCCTCTCCACAGCTGCAATTGCTTTATCAGCATCCTTGAGCTCGAAGATCTGGCTCACTAAAAGGTGCCAAGGGAGGCTTGTTGCATGCTTGGTCAAGAACTGGACTCCTCGGTAGAAGTGGCTGAAGTCAGAACCCCAACAGCCCTTGATGGTGAGGTGTTTGCGGTTGATCATTTGATGTGGGTTGAGTGCAACTTCACCATTGTCAGTGTACTGCCCCACAACAACGTAAGTGCCACCATCGCGGCAAAGCATCATCCCCTCCGTCACTGCCTCGGGTCGCCCAGTGGCCTCGATCACGACGTCTCCGAGATGGCCACTAGTCAGGTCTTGCACCTGAGCAAGACGTTTGCTTGGGTCTGGAAACTCTTCAATGCTGATAGTGTGGTCAATGCCAAACTCCTTCACAACCTTTAGCCTGTGCGCTGGAGCACCCACCACAATAACCTGGAGAGCTCCACTAAGTCGGGCTAAAATGGCTGCCAAAAGCCCCACAGGTCCAGAACCCTGAACAATCACTCGATCCATTAGTCGAATACTCGCCCGATCCACTGCATGCAATGCTGTAGGTAGCCCGCAACCGCCTGCCATGAAGACGCTTGCTGGCAACATTTCAGGTAGCCGAATGATCTTCGTGTTTGGAGGAAGATATACGTAGGAGGACCAGCCACCTAATAAACCCCGAATACTGTTGGAATCTGCGTTGCATGTAATACCAAGCACTCGCCTTAGCGGGCACCTAGTGGTTTGCTTATCCACTAAACAGGTCACACAAGAGTTACAGGTATCGATCACGTCGAGATAGGTCACTATGTCTCCTTGCACAACCGGCGACCCCTCTACATCTACAATGGAACCCACGGTGGCAAATACTCTACCAACTGCAACATGGCCTGGAATAATGGGATATGGCACAATATCAAGGCGACCATGTTTGAGGTGCACATCAGTTCCGCAGACCTCACTCAAAACAAGTTGCAGTAGCACGGAACCTGGTTCCATAGAAGATAACTTCAGCTGTTTTTCGGTTACCACATTGACGGAACCATCCGAATTCATCAAGACACAGGTATTATTGATGATAGGATCCATATCCTCCATCGCTTCTCTAGATTGCTCCCCAATTCCCACGGTTTGACTCTTCTCGCAGTGAATATAGGAAGTATTTTACAACTGAGGCGACGAAACCCTTTCACCAAAAAACAGGCCAAGTTGACTGGATGTCGCGAGTTAACTGCATGTCATCCTGGATCCTTCAGATTACAAATACGCGCCATACATTAGTTTATGCACCACAAAAAAGAGATTTATCATAGAAGTTACAGGTGCGTTGGTAGCCAAGTACAATTCAAGAACTCCTCGACATTTCGAAGTTCTTTTTAGAGCTTACCTATAAGATCTGGCTTAACATATCTCCTAATATACACATAGACGAAGTACCTACCTTGATGAAGCCAATCTAGACCAGGAATTTCGTAACCATCGATGTCGCTTGTGGTAGAGCAAAGTGAAAAGGGGAATGTCAGCCGCTGTCCGTGCCTATCCGGCAAGAGCTCGGTTGAGTGTCCCATGCATCCTACTTGTAGATTAAAATGCGAGAGAAATTAGATTCTTTGTCTACTCTCTCAGAACTAGGCTTAGTAGTACTCAATCACGAGTTGTTTCTCTTCTAGGAACATATGCAAGTGATGGACGAGGTGGAAATCAAATCCAACACTTCGACCCTGAAATCTTGTGCAAAACCTTCCAATTACTAATTACTAATGATGAACCCAAATACTTTCCTACATGAAAAACATATCATCACTGCAGGATTGATGCTTTTCCACTAAAACCAACAAGCGAAAAAACCAGAACCTAATGCAGCTGTTACTTCTCTGACGAAACCTTATTCACTGGACGCATCTAAATATATTAAATCACGTATGCCAAAGGCTACGTCGGTCATTGACGTAAGTTGCAAAGTACAATGCTCAGTATACAGTTATAATGCGTTATCATCACCAATGTCAGGCTTTGATGGTACGGTAAACATCACTGCACGCTTGCAATTGATTCAAGAGCTACATCGTGTATTGAAAATGTCAAGCAGATATTCAGTGAAGTGAATAAGCACTGAGCGCAGGGTACAGTTAGAATGGTTTTTCATCACCAATTTCAGACTTCGATGGCAAGCTTGTAACACACTATTCCTGAGAAAAACTAACAGTGGTTTATGGCAATCGGAACTTACGTGTCGCAAGCAATATCATTAGGCTATCCCACACAAACCAAAAACATCTTATCTAAGATCAGACGGAAAGTGATTCTGGATTAGTAACAGCACAATGGAAGCCCTGATGACCGTCGTGATGGAATATCATTTCATGCGCGCAACTATGAACTCTCGAGTTCTTTCGGATTCAGTATTTCTATTTCTCTCGGACAATTGCTTCGCTAACGATTCAAGGCAAGTAGCGAGCCAGTGGTTCCAGTATTTACAATTTAAACTGCGAGAAGTCCTCCCATTGCAAGCTACACAAACCTTCAATTGCGTCTTAAACATAGATTTACCGTCTAAGGTAGTCATAGCCGAGATTTTCAGAACCCGTGAACGTCGTAACCAATGACGAGCCCAAGACCTCAGTACATATTGATAAGCAGACAGCGAAGGAACGAAGGAACATAACAGACAACTATATAACAATTTTTACACCTCTCCATACTCAACATACCTTGACAATATCCTCCTCCCGCACGATAGATTCTAACCTAACGGATGCGCAGGGGTCAGGAGAGACAGCATCGCTCATTACGAGTCGTATCGTCAGGAAACAATCAGAATTCCAATTGGGGCATCCCCCCAGAGAACCACAGATGCAGCGGACAGGACTCCGACCATGTCCAAATTCAGTTACTTTCACACTCCGACACCGCCGAGAGAAGCTAAATTAGCGACAACCCTAGAGGATGTTTCCGAAGCCACAGATTGAGTTCAAGTTCTTCCTCATAAAAGCATTCATCCATGGAAGGGTTCCTATTCGTCTCTTTAACTGATTCCACTTGAAAGAAATTCTGCGGAAAGAGATTCTATCATTTCTCAAAAAGCTTTGGTGGAGAGAACGACGACGCAGACGCCATACAAGCCGAAGATCTGCTGGAGGAAGGCAATGCGGTGGAATCCTTGGAAGAAGGTGTTGGTCTCTGCTGTGCAGGAGAATGCCGATCTGGCAGAGAAATTCCTGATTCCAGGATTTAGATAACCGAGCTAATGTTACCTCCTTTACGTGTTCGTGGAACGTTACGTTTGCTCATATCCCAAATGAGTTCTGCTTCATCTCAGTGTAGGGGTTATGCTTCAAATGGTTTTGTAGGCTGGTAGAAGAAATCCTTTGGACGACGTACGCTCACAGATTTCACAGCCGTGACGGTGACATGTAAGGTGTTTTCTGGAGTTTTAGGTTGAAGTCGCTGAGCTTGTGCTGCTTTGTTGTCTATCGGAATTGGTAGTCGCGTGGTGTAGTTGTAGAATTGGGTTGACTCGGAAAGGAGCGTAGTTTGCGAGGACATGCTACACTGAGTTGGAGGGGTATTTTAAATTTGAGTGAAGTGGCTGGTAGAGATTCGAGTGTGTCGAAGGGGCAGCTGAAAGAGCTACATTGAATTTGTCACGGTGCAAATCAATGGGACACGTTATGCAAATATCTGCGGTGGGTCATTTGTGAAAGATGCCCTTGTAGAACTATTGGCGATTGTGATAACCTTAATTTTAGAGGTTCACAGAGATGGCCGTGATGGCCTTCTGGTCGTTTTCAACTTTGGGAGCGCTCTCTTGTCTACCGGATCCCGCTGCAACACCAAGATGGCAGAGTTGTAAAATTTCATACTATGCGACGTTGAGGAGCGCTCACTGCCCGAGGTTCCTCACAAAGCTTTCTCTGAAGAATATTCAGTATACCAGACCAAATCGGAGGCTGTCCATCGCAGCGGCAGCAGAAGTACCTGATTTCCTGCCTACAACTTGGTACGGAACCTCTTGTTATGAAATCAAATGTGGTTAATTTCCAACTCGTGAACCTCTTGTTATGAAATCAAATGTGGTTAATTTCCAATTCGTGAACCTCTTAGAATTGACTTGTTACTCTAATTCTCCCAAAGTTATATTGACCATTATGGTTCTGGTTTCTGCAGGGAGAAGCCCAACAAACCGATTGGTCCTACTTTTGATGTGAGATTCTACTTTGTTTTGTGAGTCTCCAAAGTTCAGTGTCAGGCTAGGAATTTGAGGCGGACTTAGTATAAATGATTATTCCGCTTTCTTTCCTCTTCACTGATGACCTAACTTTCTATGTATGTTTGTTTTGAAATTAACCGGAACACATAGGGTAGCAGTATCTGTACACGATATTTGTGTCTTTTCCGCATCAAAGTATTCTTAATTCTATATTCTGAAACGTGATCACATGTATTGACTTAATTAAGAAAGAGACGAAAAATACATGGTCATCACTATGTAGATCCGCTATTACCGCAGTTGGGGGTGAAGATGAAGGTTTGTGTGTTACGTGACTGTTTTGTGCAGCATTTTAACTAGGAGATGTATGTAGTTGTCAGCTGAGCAGGTTACGCTTTTACAACTAGAAGCACTCCAAGATAATGACATCCCCTATGCAGATCACGGTATAGAAATAATGTACAGGGTATGAAATTTCCTTCCTTTGAAGTATCTATCGTCTGGGCATTAACATGCAAGTCAAGCTGAACAAGCTTTAGTTCACCATGTCCTGAAGTGCTGAGCAATAAATTGTTTGGTCCTTATTGTTTTTATGAACGTGGAAAGGGTCTGTTTGAAACTTAAAAATCGTCTTGTAGTGCGTGGTGATCTCGTGTTTGTATAGGGATTATTTTTGTTAGAACATTGATAAGCCTTTAACATGTGCTACAACTCATTCAGTGGCTACAGTTTGCAGGTTTCGACCCATTCAAACGTTCCGAGTATTTTGGTCCGACTTTTGATTTAGGCCAGGTAACAAGCTTTCTCTTTTCCTCTCCTTTTCATTTATAATGTCCTCGATGTTTAAAAACAACGCCGTCTTCTGTAGAATTCTTAGTAATGAGCTAGGTGCACTTTCTCCTCAAGCAGTCGGGTACGTTAGAATTTATTAAGTTGTACGTTTTGACTGATCTTGTAGCTGCAAATTTGATGTATGTTCCCGTGTTTTTGCGAGACCCAGTTCGAAAGATTCAGACGCATTTTCCACCACACCTCATTTCGTGTTCTATTGAATCATACCGATCGTCGCATCTTAAGCAGCTTGTTCGTCAATGAGGTATGGACTTTCTAGATCTTGGTGTCATAATTCTCAGATGCTCGATACTCAATTGCATGGGCTCGGTGTGTCCACGCTAAGAAATTTATGGTGGTGTCATGATTTTTTTTAAAAATTTTGAGTGTTCGTCACAGCATTGCTTCAAGCAAAGGGTATGCATCGTTGGAGCTCGACCAGGGGAAGAAGAGATTTATGAGTTTACCCTTGCACAGGTACTTTCAAGTTTTTAGTTTTGGTTACAATAGCTTTGGTAAGTACACCGTCAATATGTGGATGATCTTTTGTACAACTTAGCTGCAACTACGTGCATGCCCTGGCTCATGGAGGCAATAGCCATGAATGGTTCGAAGATAGTCCTGTCTGATGTGGGTAAGAGCTGGTGTTCTACAGAGAATCGGAGGAAACTGGGATGGCTACTGGCTCACTCAGAGCCTTCGACATGACGGCGAAGGCGCAAGCGGAGGCATCGCGTATTGATTCGTCAATGATTTTATCCGTCTACTGCTTAGCTAGAGAAGGGTTATGAGTCTTATGACATCAACAATGCAGCTCTCGATTCACCACCAAACCAAATGTGTAGCCGACATACATTGTTTGGCATCTCCTGAGAATACGTTCAATGTTTTGAGATCGTGTAGTAACTGTAAATTCACCACTTGTAAAAACAATTGCACAGAACGTGTTCTGGCATATGCATTGATCATGTTTATTTCCTGAATACCTTCACAATGTTAAATCATTTTTTGTCCATACCTACTGCGTTACTTGTACAAAGTGCACGACTGAATGTCTCTATTATACTAACCAGTAGTTGACTAGTTACTCCAAAGAGCGCAAAGGGCTGCATTTTTGCCCGCAATTTCAACTCACTCTGTAGCACTTATTTTTAATATGCCCATGTAGATGTTTCTGAATGCATTTGTTGTCCCCTTTCAACTCCTAGCGGAGCTGATGCTATATATGTACTGCATCCATTGGGGTATCGAGCGATACGATTAAAAAAAGCGGATAAACAGTTACTTGCATGGGAACTAAAGACATCCACTGCAAAACAAACGATTTGATTAGCGACGCAAGTTTATGATCCTTGCGATGAGACATATAAACACCACTGAGGAGAAAATGCTTGGAGAACATTTCGAAACGAATTGGTACACGTATTCGCAACATGAATTCAAGCGAGTATCCTGTCACTAGCAAATAAGTGCCTTCGAAGCAAGTAATGCGAAATCGGCAAAAACTGTTCAACTATATTCGTGAAACATCTGATGAACCCTCTTCAACGCTTGCACTTTAAAATCTCTTATCTGGACACTCAACCTACACCAGAGAGGAATTCCTGAGTTGCCGATAAAATAGCAAACATATAATTTGATGATTAATTTCAGAATGGATAGAATCAAGTGGTAAGTATACAGTAGTGAGGGGCCTATCACTATTCTAGAACTTGTGGATGATAAGGGGCAAAGTCAAGTACCTCCCGACACTCAGTACCTCATCTTGACCAGTAATTCTAATTGTTGGCTGGAAAAATCAAACTGCAGAGGGTTAGCTCTTGGGCGCTTCAATCTGTCTTGCAGCGGCGTCCTCAGAAGGCATGTATCTTCTCTCCCTGAATTCCTTAATAGTCCAATTGGAGTTAATCTTGGGCTTAGGAGGCTCGATTGGAGAGCCGATTGGTGCAACGAGATCAGGATTGCCGTCTCCAATCACGCCATCCACAAGCCCATACTCCATCGCCTCCCACGCATTCATAAAATTGTCTCTATCCGTGTCAGCTTCGACCCTCGCCTCAGGCTGGCCCGTAAGACGCGACATTATCTTCTGAAGCTTGTACTTGTGGAACATCATCTCCCTCACTTGCAACGCGCCGTCTATGGCTGTGCCACCGGCGCCACCCAACGGCTGGTGAATCATCACCCTGGCGTTCGGCATGCAGTACCGCTTGCCCTTCGTCCCGGCTGTCAGCAAGAACGCCCCCATGGACGCCGCGAGACCAAAGCACACAGTCGACACATCTGCCTTGCACAGCTTCATGGCGTCGTAAATCCCCATGCCCGCAGTCACCGACCCCCCGGGCGAATTGATGAACAGCTTAATGTCCCTCGTAGGATCCTGTGCGTCCAACAGCAACATCTGGCTGATGATCAAATCCGCGGAGAAATCATCCACCTGCGACCCCAGAAACAAAATTCTCTGCTGCAGGAGCATCGTCCCGGGATCCAAATCCTGCAACCGAGCAAATTGCTCGATTCCGCCAGGTCCGCCCGGCCCCCGCATCGATACCCCAGGGAAACTATCCATGGCTCCTTCTGCCCTAGCCATCACCACCCTCCTTTGCCTCTCCTTTCCATCTCCTCTCGCCCATAGCTGCACCGACTGTTGCTGCCCTTGCTCCCTCTTCTGAGTCCTTGTCACTCTCCCATTCGGCGCCCACTGAAACGCTGCTGGCAGCTTCGAACCCACACACAACACAGCAGATGCTCCCATCGCTTCCACTTCCAAAACCACTCACAAAAACGCAAAACTAACACAACCCAGTTTAGGATAAGAAGCCCTAACCTCTACAGACGCAACAAGAGGACTCGGAGGGATTGTGGATGTTGCAACATCGCTCTAGTCGGTCCAGGGGACAGTGCTGTGCAGGGCAGTGCAATATAAAACTGACTCCTCGAGGAGGCTGGATTTAGTCCCGGGTGACTTACCACCCCTTCTTCACTTCTTTGCCTTAGTCTCTCCGAGCCCTCTCTTCTGAAGCCCACTTCCATGTGTGTCCATGCTTTCAATCTTCTTATTATTATGTCTGTTGGATGTTGTTGTAGGTGGATATTGTTGTGGGTTGACTTATTCCCATTCACAGCTCCCCTGTGCTTTTTTGACTTATGTCAATTGTACATAGTTTTGGGATTGTGTTTGTCACATAGGTTTATCGTTTGCATGCGTGACCAAAAGTATATGAGCATAGGAAATTTGTTATCAGTTGGACGTTTTTAAAGAAGATCTCATAGGAACTGGTAGTTTATGGATAAAGTGCAACATTGCATGTGCAAGAGATTGTGTTTGGTTGAATGTGTCTCTTATTGGATAACTGAGATTTTTTTTATATCTATATGTTGTGATGTTAATTTCATTTGCCAAAATCCAAGGTTTTTATCAGTATAGCAATCAACTTTTCTCATTTCATAATTAATTTGACTCATGTTGTTCAAACAGAACATGTATTTATATATTTACACAGAATGATTGTCATACAATTTTACAAGATGTTTTTTTTTTGTGATCAAGACAATAATCATTGGATTTGAAAAGACATGCCTCTTGTTACTTAAATATTATATTCTGCAAAACGACATTAAAGTTGATAGAAAATAAAATTCAAAGCCATCAGATAAATTAGAAAATGCTAATTCTGTGATACAAAACCAATTAACCAATCAGAGTCGTTGGATTTTTAAAACATAATTGGCAATATTTACTGTATATTAATCTTTTCATCCCTCTTTGCAAGTTAATGAAAGTGAAAAAACTTATTTTAATCAGATTCACCCTAATTAGCCTAATAACCTCTTTGTGTTTTGGTGTAGACACTTTTGTGACTATTTCAGTCTGTAAATTAAATAAAAACTCAACCAAATGTGTGAAAATAACAGTATTATTTTGGTTTTGTATACACCAATTTAGGATTCTCTGTTTAATTGATTAATTTTGGTATAACATGCAATATTCTTACTATTGATGTTTTAATTTCATATACTAGTATATACCATCACAATTTTTAATTTATGAACACCATTTTTAACACAACCAACAAATGTGACATATATGTAAGCTTTATTCAACTATTACTGGGTGATATGAATCTTAAAAAGGAACGACTTCTTTTATAAAGCTTGTTCTGGCCCTCCCTAGTTTGCCAATCTCAATAACTTAAGTCACTCCAGTTAGTGAATACCTTAAGCAACTATACAGTAGAGCTCTCACAAAATTGACTGCGTATTCATAAGTCGCCACAACGGCAGGAGAAAAAGAAGAAGATAATTAGTACTTTGTGTTATATAACGCTAGCTTGCCACAGCACAGCACACATTCAAGATTTCACTTGTGATAAACATTTCAATGGTAAACATGAGTAGAAGAAGCACGACACGGTGCTGGATGTTGTGACCTGGTCTTCGATTTTCCAAACTTGGTGCAGCAGTCCAAAAACAACTAAAACAAATATGAGCTCAGCAAATGGATATTGACGGAATAATGAGATCCGCGTTCTTTTTCGTAAGAGCAATCAGTTCAGCGTTGGGCCGATCATTGTACACTACCTGTTAACAGACCCAAATAACTGACATCAGTTGAAAGCATAGTATGTGCTATCTCAACAACAGTCTTTCGATCAAGTTCTTGACTACAGAGCTATGCTAAGAAATTTCCGGTCAGTGGATATGCAGAGCATGACTAACCCGATGTTTTGCGTAGTCAGGCGTCTTTCCTGCAAAAATCTTAGGAAAGTCGCATTTTAGATCAGCTTCGGCTTCAGATATTAAATAAACAGTTGAAGCTGCGCATCTTGATAAAAAGCATTATGTAGAGAGATGCATTGGAGGGAATAGAAACAAAATACAACAAAGTGGTTCGGAAAGGCTGCACTTGCCAGTTGCGATGTGTCTCAGCTCAACCCTCTTCATAGCCTTGTCAATGTCGATGTCTACAAACCTATGTTCACAAACACGTCATCAAGGCAGCCTATGCCAGATACTCGGGACAAATGTCCCTAGAGCAAAGAAATGCTACAATAGCACATAGAAAAACATGAGCGCCAGTCATTTCTAACTCTTCATTTTCACGAAAGGAACAGCTTCAGTATGCTTAATCATCGATAACCAGGCGTATGTAGACCCGTACCAGCGTTCATCGAACAGATTTTGTAAACCTATCCATTCGCCCTCTTCCATCAAGAGGTAGTTGCCCTCGACAAGAACGACTTTGTGCCTGACAATACCGCGAAAATTCCCACGTAGAAATCTAATCAATAATAGGAGATTGTAGAACAATTGCATTTACAATCTTCCAGATCAGCTTACTTAGTTGAGAGTGTATGTAGGATACGTATCGTACTTAGGTGATACGTATATGTCTTTCTCAACAGGGTCTCCTACTCCATGGTCGAATGAAGGTAAGTGCGCCTCACCCTGCACGTAAAAGCATACAGGTAAGTTTTGTGTTTCATAGGGCGTGGTGTGCCCAACGATAGGTCTCAACAATATAAACAAAAGAAAAAAATTTCTTCCAAAATAAACCGTCATTCAAAAGTATTGATTTGAGTAGATCACCTTCGCACCTGAGTCCGCAACTGCTGCAGATTTTTTAAAAGAGACGCAGGATCGAAAGTCCAATGAGCTGTTTAAAGAGCACTCTCCGCTAGTCAAGAGAAACTCGACATGGATAGAGAAAAGCAGCTATGAAACCAATAGAGCTCACTTTACATAGTTAAAGCAAAAGTCACCAAATACAACGGCAAATGTAATGAACAGAGAAGAATCAGCAGAAACCTCCTCGTCGAGCATGAGCTTCTACTGGGTCCTGATACACACCAAAATGAAACGAGTCACGTTTACATCTTCAATAACTCAGTCAGGAGAAGCAGACAACGTACAGCTAGCAAGCTTATCTATAAAAAAAAAAAAAAAAAAAAAACACTAGATAGTGCATAACGACTATTTGAATGATTTCTAAAAGAAGATCTAGAAAGAGATTGTTCTCAATAGCGCTGCCGTTAAAGCTAAATATCTACTTTAACATAAGATGAGGTAGATTTACCTCCATGGCATCAAGCTGCCAACGATACAAGTGATACCCATCCATAGGTACGGCGACGGCTATCGGAGCTCCTCCACTTTTCTCCCCATGACTCTCAAGCCAAAGCTCATTTAATCGAAGCGCAATCTCGTTGGCAACAGTTGACTTTCCCGCCCCAGGAGACCCTGCAATCCCCACCATATACCTGTATTCTATGTGAATAACTGTCCTTTCAGGACATTGACGCAAGCACCAAGTATGGAGAATAGAACAGTAGAACTGTCGTATAGAATTTTATACATCATCAAAGTCACGAGTACGTATGCACCAACAATCAATTGACGGCCACGTTCACTTTATTGTGGCATCTGGGCATGCAGTAGAATAAGAGACGAAACAAATGCTCAAATTTCAGAACTATGGTGTTGTTACACAGTATTCAAGGGGAAAAGTAGTTACTTTTGATCGGGATCATGGATCAAAGCTTTTGACAAAAGTTGTTTTGCAAGGACATCGTAAGTTTCTTCCATGGTACTGCAAAGAAAACAAGTAATCAATTGTCGTACCGTTGCTAAATAGCAATTAGATTGGTCTTCACAAACCACGATGCGAGGACCCTCTTTTTTTCACTATCAATGCAAGACGGTTACACAACTACAACCATTAATTATGTCATATTTTACCTCAAGCGTATAATTTTAGCTTCCATTCAACCATCCAAACATATAATTCAGTCGGAACCTAGATTAATCACTTATTTTAAGATTGTTACCTGCACTGGAGCCTCCGCGGAGTTTCTTGAATGCTGCATAACCACTACATCATACATTGCCCCAAAAAGTAAATTTAGAACCTTGGATTGTTGTGCGGTCATAAGTAAACGAGAATATACCAACCAGTCCACTATGTCTAAGAACAGAGATACCATTTCTAAAGGCACTACCCTCACACTGAAAACAAGGTTTAATTTGTGTCGAAGTCATCAGCGATTTACGTGCATGATTCCAGTAAAATACTATTGCGCTTAAATTGTAGTGCTCATTCCAAGACTGACACTGTCCTGGCTCGACAAATGTTGAACAAACTTGATACGTGATTCGTACCCGCTGATTTGCACGCTGCCGACCAAACTTTCCAACTGTTCCCCGCTTTGAAATGTACAACCTTGCATCAGAGGAGACTAGTTGATTCCGTGCAACGGGGTTCATTACTGCCTTCTCATACCCTGCGTCCCTCAACCGATCAACACCAATTTTTTGAACCCATAACCTGACTACAGCGTGGTGCGATTCATCTTTTTGAAGAAATACACCAAGGTCGAAATCGATGAAGAGTATTACCGATTGAAGCTACCGCAACCTGACCTGGTGCCAAAAGGACAGGCAGAGGCTCCATTCCTGAAGAATTTTTCCATGGTTGCTTTGTCCTGCTCATCCCCAGAACAAATTAGATCAATTTAATAAAGTTTAGGATATCCCAACTGCAAACAGATGCATTCAGACATGAAATTTACGAATGACTCGAAGTACGATCGAAATGTGGAAAGTGTGTACAATACACACAAACGGATGTGTTCACAGAATACATTGGAATGGCCAGATCCGAGCCAATCAATGTTCGGTTCAAGAGCGTAAACCAAGTATCTAAAACCCATTCACCCAGAAGACATGAAGAAAACAGTAACAGTTCATTGAGAACAAAAGTGTGAATTGTAAATACAAATAATACACCCTCGACACCTAATAAACTGAAGAAGAAGAAAGTAAAGCAAAGCAAACTTGTGGAAATCGTTACTTAATCAACAATCCGGATCCCCCCAACTTGGATCGAAATTCGAAAAAGAACAGCTGAGAATCTAGAAGCCACTTCTACCACACCCAATTTAGCCGAAAAGCCACAGCTAATGCGGGCAGCAGTGAATGTAAAAAACTCCTAGTCTACAGGCGGAACTAGAAACCAGGGAACCGATCATTCCATTCCATTCCATTCCAATCGGAAGGGCATTCTAGTGAGAGCTAAGAGTGAAGGAAGGGAAGGAAGGGATAAGGAAGCGAGAGAGAGAGAGAGAGAGAGAGAGAGAGTGAGACCTGGGAAGCAGCAGCGGAGGGGATGCGGCAGCAGCGAAGTGCGCAAGTGTGGCCATGGAGATGGAGAGATGGAGGGCGGCAACAACGAAGACGAAGACGAAGAGAGAAGAGCACAAGAGCGGCGAACTCCTCCAACTCCTCCTCCTCCCTCTGCCTCGACTTCTTCTTCTTCTCCTTCTTCTTCTTCTTCTTATGCGTCCTCCTCCTCCTGCTGCTTCTTCTTCTTCTTCGTCGACTTCTGCTTCGACTACAGCTTCTTCTTCTTCTTCTTCGTCGACTTCTGCTTCGACTACAGCTTCTTCTTCTTCTTCTTCTTCTTCTTCAACTGCTGGTCGTAAACCTTCGTCCTCCTCCTCCTCCTCGTGCTGGTGCGTTATTCGGATGCTTCTTCTTCGTCGTCGACTGTCCCGGTGGGGAGGAGAGGGTGGGGATGCATGCAAGTGTAGTAGCGCTGCGAATGCGGCTGATGCTGCGTTTGCTTTTGCTTTCTTACACGTTCTCTTCGGTTCTGTTCGGTTCGGTTTTAGGGTCTTCTCTCTCTCTCTCTCCGTCCCAGTCTGATTCTGCTTTTGCTTCTTCTTCGTCCACTTTTCGTTCCTTCGTTCGTTCGCTTCTTCGTTCCTTCATTCTTTCCTTTACCTTTTCCGCTTAATTCTCTTCTTTCCACTTTCTTCGTCTTCGTTGTGTCATCTTGCTTTTCTTTCTTCTCCTTTTTCTTTCGGTTTTACTTCTCATTTTTTTTCTTGTTCGTTTTGTTCGTGAATATGATTTAAAAGAATAAACTTAAAAGAGTAAATAAGAAGTCGGTTGGCACTAGCACCTCAAGTAGTATTCAATGTCCTAAAATTAATTGAAAATAATCAATGTGTGTTCTTTTTGCACCCCCCTTTTTTTGGGCTATATATATATATATATTAATTTTTTTCATCTTGATACATATATTATATATTGTAGCATATATATATATATATATATATATATATATGTGTGTGTGTGTGTGTGTGTGTGTTTAGAATTTCCAAGAATTATATTCTTTGACTTAGTTTTTGGGTGGTTGAAAGATAATTGGAACTTAGTAAATACTTAAAAATAGTTGCTTGTACAAAAAAAACATTAGGAATTCCTTATTTTGTGCTTAAGTTATTGGAGGATAAGAAAAAATACATAAACAAGATTTGACATATGTTAAGTTCTTAATGCTAAAAAATTAATAATACTAACAAAAAATGATTACAAAAATAGAATTTTAAGAAACCAAGGTTTTAAACTTAAAAAATATTTGAAGTTGAAATAAGTCATAATATTAATAATATAAGGTGATTGAATAAAGTTATCACAAAATAGGCATTAAGTATTTAATAAAGCATCAATTTTATCAAGTATTAATATTAAATTCTCAGAAAAGTTATTGTAGAGATTTAATATCCAATATTATTTTAGAAATTATATTAAATCAAGATTCTTATTATTTTGTTACAAAGATTTTACTAACATCATACATATACACAAAAGTTAAATTAAAATATGTATTCTTCTAATACATATGTTTGATGTAAACAAACATAAAAAAAAAAAAAAAAAAAAAAAAAACTAACAAATATAAAATAATATAGTAATTCAATGTCAAATAAATATGATAAATAAATATATGAAAATGTTCAAATGACCCACCTATGTACTAAATCAAGCCACCATATCATATCCATCATTCAAAATTGGATCATCTCCAAAAACCATCATTACAATCTTGACCCCCCTTGTTTCTAGTTCCCTCTCTCTCTTTCTAGTCTTCTTCATTCCAACCTCCATTATTCTACTCTTGTCATTTCTAGCTCTCATCCCAACCCCTCTTATTCCCCCTTGTTTCCTACAATAGGATAGGTCAATTTAACAAATGGATGGATCATTTTAACATTTTTTAAAACAAAAAAAAATATATATATATATATATATATATATATTAATTAGTCTAAATTCTTTAGAAATTATGATTCAATAAATATAATGCTTATACTCTACAATTAATTTTATTTTTTCGTTAAAATAATACATTAATCTTTAAAAGATTCATAAAAATAAAAAATATAAAAAGAATTAATTTTTTTTTTGAATGTATATTTATTATTTATTATTGATTTATTTATTAAATGTTTAAAACTGCGATGCAACTTTGATGTTTCTAATAGATCATACATCAAGGTAGAAAAAGAAAAAATATATATTGCGAAATAAAATAAGAACAATATGTCAAAAAAAATAGAAGAAAGAAAAAATGTATGATAGATGCTAAATAATACCTAGCAAAAGAAGCAATATAGTTATAAGGAACCAAAATATTTGAGTCATGGTAATTTAAAAATTAATAAATCATGCTTGATATTTTTAATTTGAAGGTGATGAATATTTTTAGATCACCAATAAATGGGGATTAAAAAAGTTCTTTTGCAACTTATCTTATATGTATATACATGGTCTTAAAATGACTAGTTAAATTTAGTGCTTTTATGTTGATTACATTCAGACTCATATGAAATCTATATTTGTTTCAAATCACAGCAGACAAATTCATAGTTATTATTTGTACAAAACAAAAGGACACAATGAAGTTTTGATTACTAATCCCTCTTTCAACTTAGAGTGTAATAAGTCACATTTATAAATATTTTCATACTATGATTGTTCCATCAAAAAGTTGTTCCACCTTCAAAAATATTGTCACAAGAAATTGAAAGAATGTAATTTATTAGTTTGTAATTCTATTCGATTTTTTTTCTTCCACTTTTAAACTTTGTCACATTCCAAAAAGGAAACATATATATATATATATATATATATATATTTTTAAATTCTATTTTATTATACCATTTATTTTACAATTTATTTCTATACACTTTTATTTCTATATATGTCTTTTTGATTTACTTAACAATTTTCTAGGAACAGTATTCCATACCATTTCGTTCCTTCATTTTCTCATCCCATTGTCTACTTCTACTCCTCCAGCAACTACAATTAAGGAGAACAAATATCCACAAGTAACATAAGAATCATGAAAACTCAAACGTTTTTTCCAACTGAAACTATTTTTTTTCTAAGTACCCACTGCATTATTACGAGGCAGCAAAGTAGAGAAGCTCTTCAGCTACACTAATAAGGTGACTCAGATGCACACACGCAGATTCAAGAGGATTTGCAGTTGCAATCAAGCTGTGGAATTCTTGCAAATAGGAACAAAATATTTCACTTGAGCAAGAAGCTTCTATGTATACAACTTATGAACAAAAGAATTAAAAGGCTCCGTGTGAAGGGACATGTGATACATCTTAACTTGTCTTGCATTCAGCAATCGTTGCAGTGCAGTCAACGGGCAAATTGGGATGCAGCAGCATCCAAATCTTCTGAGGGAATAAGCGTCAAAAATTCATCGATTTTTTTTCGAGCAGCCTGAACAGGATTCAAATGAAAATACATCAGTTCACATTCGTGGCACGAATCCGTTCATATAAAAAAATATTGGTTCTATACAATTCCCTCTTATGGATGAAAACTCAGAATTCCTAGGAGGGACTTGAATTGATTTTACCTTGATTGATTGCAAACTGAATTTGAGAAACTCCATTCTGCGAAAGAAATGAACACATCAGAAATGTCCCGCATTTGATTGTTCAATCAGATATAATACTGACAAGATATAGATGACGATCATCATCTCTCTATCTTTGAATAATATGGTGCACACATGTCATTCAAAACTCAACACATCTGCTTCCAAACAAGCATTGTAAATGCGCTGCTCAAAGGGAAAAAATCAAGAGACATACTGTTGTACTGGGCTGGGTTCTCCAATGTTCTCAAAATATCTACTATAATCAGCCTGTTGCAAAAACAATAATAAAATTGCTTCTGTGAGAAACAACAAAAACATAAACTAGGCGATGGGAAGTGATGTTGTTTTGTGAAAGAGTTTATCTGGAGGAGGTTTGTCGGTGAAAATCACAACTAATTCAGATTCATTCCCATTGGTCACTACTACCTGAACTTTGTAACTGACAACCATCTGCCCACCCAGAAGATTGTGCTACAGAACATGGCGGCTGCAAGGTAGAAACTAGGAGACCTAGCAGTGGCTTATGGATATAATTCATCATGCCAAGCTTTTTCAGATTATTTTCCGTATTTGAATTAGACAAATGTGGTATTCTGAGGTGTACCTGATCCACGTATTCGAATATTTCAAACGAAAGGTTGGTTGCCTTCTCTGCATTCTCTCCGTCTAACCATGCTGCCGCACTGCAGAATCAGACAACTTACATTTCAGTGGCTTCTATGCAATGATATGATCAATCAATCTGCAGATGATCATAAAACACCAACACTGTCATGAAAAACGTCAGAAGTAAAAGCCCGAACACACTTGAGCAAGGTTTTCTTGATTTCTTCGGATGTGCCTGCTCTTCTCAGTTCACTTTTCACTACTTCAACATCTGCAACCGAACAAACATGCACAGTTCAGAGTTAGTTTCTGCAATTTTGTTGGGGCATTGCCGATTAATATCAACCCAGCAAGCGAGAGCAAGTGAGAGAAAGAAAGAGCAACCTGAAGCAGTATCTTCTAACGATTTTAGTATGCGTTGGAGCTGAAGAATAGAAACCACATATAAAAATAATGGTTTGGAGGGTCTGCTGGTCGGAAATTTCAGCTGCAGCCACCCATTACAGAGGCATTTGCTTCAACCCAACTAAAAATCAACAACGCTGAGTTTGCACTGTATGCTAAGACTACAAAAAAATAAGGTTTTAAGAATCATACAGAGGAGACAATTATCAATTATGATTAAAAAATAGGATGTGAAGCACACTGTAATGGACACAAAGAATGTGGTCAAGAGGGTACATTAGCCAATCCAACAGCTAGCGCGGAGATTCCAAGTCCAATAATCAGACGCCTTTGAATAACTTTGTCAGAACCAGCTTCCATAGCCTCCCCTCCAAGACCCATTCCTTCAGTAGGTGCACCTTTAGATAGAAATAGCTCTGCTTCTGACAAACCCCACTTACTGGGTTGCTGCTCCGGTTTTCCTATTAGAAGTGAAAACCTCACATGAATAAGTGCGTGAAGAAGATCAGGTTGCAGTACAATCAAAGAAGTTTTTTCTCGTCAAAGATTTCGGTGTACCCTACATGACCAAAATATTAAAAAGGAAATGCAAAGCTACAGACATATCCAGATTGAAGGCCCTACTTTGCCTGCAAGTACAACATGTATGATGCAAAATCATTTACAAAGGAGTCCTAAAGATTTGTCATCTCAACGATTACTACTGTAATTCACCTATTGGCCTCCATTAGACAATCACTGCATTGAATGTCAAATTACAGGCGAGGATCGTGGCTCGTCCAAGTGAACCATAAAGAGGATTGGACAAATGTGGGGGGTATGGAGGGGAGTGTAACAGATGCACACCAGTAGCTTTCGGGCCGGAGAACAGAGTTTCTCTATAGCCTGTGCCGTCAATACGCTTTTCTGGAGTGGCTGGTTTCAGTTTTGAAAGATCAGTTGTGTCTCGATTGCCTTTGCGCGCTGCCAGTTCTCTGCGTAGCGCCTCTGCCTCTGCCTCTGCAGCTGCCAACTGGAACATCACAGTTGAATCCTTGCCCAACCTATATTATGAGGAAAAACAAATTTTCTTCCCCTTACAAATAAACTTTGCTACATTTGACATCTAAAAACCATTTATCACATAACTGAATCGAGCTCATCAGTGTTTCGCAATGACCCCTCGAGGTCGAATATGTAACGTGCAGCAGATATTTGGGTGTCAAACCTCTTGGTCCTCAGCTCATCTCATATCGGCTGTTGCATTGGACATCGTCTTATTTTAAATTTTGAAGGTGTGAGCTTATCCACAACTGGGTGTCCTCTCCGTGAACAGATGATTGGTATTCTAGATATTCATACACTGAGTTTCTGACACCAGTTTTACTGCAATCTGCATGAGTTGCAGCGCTTGAAAGGTACCTTGGCATTTAAGTCCTCCTTCTCACTTGTAGATGTACTTGAAGACGCCTGCACACAAGATGTAGTCCTTATCCAGTTAAATCTAGTGATCACATAGACCACAATGCAAAACGTAAGACTTTCCATGTTTTATGCCTCTTCTGTCTCCGGAAATGTTCCTATTTGTAAAGTACACGAAATAAAAACACTGATACAAATCTCCTGCACAACTGTTGGAGGAAACAATTCTGTATTCGAGTATCAATCAAATCAAGACCTCTGTTCCTCACATCTCTGCAACTACATAGAACATTATCGAATTGCCAGAACTAAGCAAATTCTGAAGATTACAGCGATAAGGATAGAGTTTCTAAAAAGATCTATCAATCAGCAATATACTTTGAATAACGTGGACACTAGTGAATGAGAATTCTGAAAGAGAGGAATGCAAGCGGCGGATAATGAAGAAAAAAGCACAAGACAGACAAAACTTGCGAAACACAAAATTGATCCAAAATGGAACACAAAGTTTTCACGAGGAAAACGAAATTCAAGTTATTGCGAATCTTAATACTCACAGTATCTGAATTTTCCTCAGAGCTAGCTCGAATTAGTCGGTACCGCCGGTTGTCCAAACCCACAAGTCTGTTCGCATTCCCCGAGAGAACCACACTGTGAAGCGGGGATGTTCTCCTACCCACATTGCCCGCAGCAAATCCATCTCTCTGGACAACCGAGCTGGTTGTCGCAGGCACGAGCGGCGGTGAAAGCATAACCACTCCGCAAGGCGCCATTCCTGAACTGTGAAGCCTAATTAATCGGCGCGACCCAAGTGCAGTTCCAGCACTAATTTCCCCAATCTGCAAATACCAGACAACACAGCCAGACTTCGTGCTCTATGCACCCAACATTCGAGTCGCAACAACGGAATTCAGCTGCTACGATATCGCTATCACAGCCTGCGACCTCGACATTGAGGTTTGGAGGCTTCCGTTCTGAAAAATCCCAGCAGGTTCATACGAGCACGTTAGAAAGTGCATTGAAAGGAAGCCGATTATTCCGAAAGCGCGCGCGGCAGAGTAGAGATAACGTGTGCAGTCCGTGGCCATGGACACCCAAGGATGGGGTTGAACGCCGTCTATCACCAAATAGTCCTAATGCCACGCCTCCACCTCCCCGAATCCCTTTCACCACATAAATGCAGCTTTTCCATGGCGGAATTCGAGTCAAACCTGCGAGAATTCTCAATCAACAAAGGAAACTAGGAATTCATGGGGACTGACAATTTGCACATAGGCATGACCCAAGAGATGCTTTCTTCATAATCCACATTGGGTAGCTGTGAAATGGTTCCCGGATTTGTCAATAAGCGGCAAAACCTTAGGATTCAGATATGTGCCGCACTTGGTCATAGTTTTCTCGATAAAACTAGGGGCAGGCTGAATATCAAATGTCAGCGTACACCTTCACTTTACCTCATGAGGGGACTTCAGGCGGCTGAGGGGCTATGGGCCAGTGGGGAGAATCATGGACTATACGTTCAATTTAGAAGGCGACTGAATGCCACACAGAATTCATAGATTGAAGCATGAGCAACGGAATAGTCTCTTGTTAGCGAAAGGTTCCCTCTCGAATATTGCTGATAACTCTGCGCCGAAAGTCAACCTCCGAGGCGACTGTGTAAATTGCAGTGCTGCCTCTCTTGAAGCAACTCGGAACACGACATGGCGGCTGTTGCAGGATGGCTGGTGAGCGATTGAGTTCCATATCTTCACAGTCGAGCACTGTTTTGAGGAATTAGCTGAAATTTCCAAGACGAATCTCTCTTCCAGGTAGCATGCTATGTCATACGCTATGCTTGTCACCCACGTCGAGAGGAGGTCCTTTATATACATTCCTCTTCTCTCTCACACGTTGGTTTGGATCCTCTTCTCTCTCACACCATTAATGAAGCACGTTGGTTTGTTCTTTGTGACACTGTAAGCTTTTGCAAGCACAAAAAGCACTTTCACGTGTTTCCTCCGTGCTCCTGCTCGCTAAGCTCTGTCGTTCATGCAGCAAACTAAAACTCTCTCATCTGTGGCTCGTCAAAGCTCCCTTCGTATATTGAAATGCCGCTGAGGAGATGGGGATTAAGCCAATGAAGTTAAGCTTGAGAACAGTATATGAAGCCATACATTGATTAACATATCCAATGTAGTTATCACGGAAAGTGTGATTCAAATGAATTTTTGAATCGAAGATTATTTTTCAAATACAAATGCAATACAATACAAATAGAAAGAAATAAAATACACAATTAAGCTCTTAGCTACAAAGTAGAATTTGTAAATCCATGCCATTGTCCTAGATAATATGCAAAAAAATTATTATTTTATTGAAGGAATTACTTCTAAAAATATAAAAATTAAATTACATTAAAAAATCATAAAAGAAGTTAAGACATTCAAAAATGTATTAAATTTAATAAATAAATAAATTAAAATATAAAATATAAAAAATAAATTACTAATTTAATCTACTTAAAACTTCCAAAAAAACAATATTCAACATAGAATTAAAATTGTTGTTTCTAGGAAGAAGAATCTTGATAGAACGAAAAGAAGTACATCAAGAGAGTGCTACATAAAGTTAACCATGGAGAAAAATAGGTTGTTGTAGATCCAAACCAACGTGCTTCATTAATTGTCTTTGGAATTTGTTTATTGTTATAGCAAATGTAAGATGGATTAGAAATTGCTTTCTCTTTAGAATGAACAAAAGTTCTTTTGTTATAGAAGTTAATGTAATCAACAAAATGAACACCAAGTTCTCAACAAATTTTCCTCTAAAAACTCTTTTTTAAAAAACTTAATCCATTAATCATATAATTATCAACTAGATTCCATTACAAAGTTCTTAGCAAGGAGCAATATTTTTTAGTAGCATCACTAGAGCCTCAATCTTAAGACAAAGCCTTGATTTGGCCATTCCAAATGGATTAAGTGACTTGATGAATTTGATTGAATAAACATTATTATTGTGGACACCATCTTTGACAACAACTTCATTGCCGCTTAGATATTCTTGTTCTTTTCTAAGAAATATGGCCATAATCTTTTCATTAATATCCTCTACATCATTATTCTATTGTTGTGATGTAATACAACTAATAGGTGAAAGAGATGAAGAATTTATTATATTATAGAAGATCTTAATTCAAATATTATACCAAATTATCTTAGAAAATAGATAATAGTCCAAAAGAAAGTAGAACTAAAGATTTAAATGCTACCTTTTCCAAAGTAAGCTTCTACTTACTTTGAAAGGCCATAAATAAGGCAAAATAAGGCAAAATAAGGCAGATTAGAAAAATAAAGAATATGAGCATATGTAAGAAGAAGTTAGAAGTTGATTTAAATAAAAATCAATTCGAAAGGATAAAATTTGATATCTAAAAAGGACTAGTTATCAACTTAGGTTGAAATCAGATCTTGAGGCACAAAACCAAGCACAAATAGTAACTTGGAGATTCTTTGGCAAATTAAAGAGTGGAATTTGAGAGCAGACTTGATAGAGATTTTTTAAGCATTGATTTTGAGGAAATTGAGTGTGTAATGACTTTGCAAGAGCTTTGCAAAGTCACAATTGTTTTGGGTGACTATAAAATTTGTGAAATAAAAAAGGTATTATATTTTTGAGAATTTTGTGAGTTTGATAGTAGATCTTCAATTCAAATTTTGAGGACTTATGAGAATAGTTGAGTGAAGTATATGATATAAGTTTGAGCTGGATCAAATAATTAAAATTAAAGGCTATTGAATTTCAAGTAGGTTGAGGTCTCAGAAATTGGACTTTGAGAGGTAGTTAAGATTTCTAAGATCTTTAGCAATTTATTAGTTGAATTGAAATAAAGTTTGTGTTTAAAGATAATAGACTTGATTTTCTATATACATGTGAAATTTGAGAACAATTAAATAGTTCAATAAGGAGATATTGGCACTGAAAGTTCAACATTAGATTGGAGTAGGAGGCCAACCAACACTTGAGTAAATTTTAAGATTTTTCTTCTATTTGGTAAGTGCAATTATCTTCAAATTTTATATGCTTATTTCCAACTTTGTTGTTAAAAGGTGTATAAATTTTTAAGCAAGATCAATAATGGAATTAATAGATATTGAGGTTCCAAACTGTACTAGGATCAGATTGAATAGGATTAGGATTTAGTTTAGGATTTAGTGTTTGTATAGGGTTTGCTTTAGGATTTGATTTAGGATTAAGGATTTGTTTAGGATTTTATTTAAGGTTTGATTTAGGATTTGTCTAAGGTTTGATTTAAGATTTGGTTTATAGTTTAGAGTTTGTTTAGGATTTGATTGAAGTCTATTAGGATTTCAATCAGGATTAAATTAGAACTTGATTGAGATTTATTTAAGATATATTTGTGATTATTGTAATATTTTTTAGAACTTCTTAAGGTTTCTTTTAAGTTTTATTATAGATTTTCTTTCAACTCCTTGAAGATTTCATATTTTTTCTTTTATAATATTTTAAATATTTCTTTTGAATTTGATTAAAGCTTGTTTAGCATTGTTAAGGTTTAATTAGAGTTTATTTAGTATTCTATTAGAATTAAGATTTTTTTGCTATAATTTCTATTCTACCTTCTACAGCCACATGCTTGGTGCACTCTCAAGCAAGACTTCACGTAATATGACAAATTTGATGAATCCTATGTGAAAGGCTTAAAGTAGAAGGTATTTGGTTTTCTTGGATTATTTGAATTATGGAATAGGAAGACAAGTGTCATGGACATACTCATGTAAGTTAGTAATTACATATACAAATAGGTAGAAATAAATAAAAGTAGGTAAAAATAAATTAATTCTATAATATTTAATATGGAAGCTTCCTAGAAGCTTCATAGATGCTGCTTTGGCTTCATAGGTGTCTTTAATTGACTTTTTGGATTAGAAACGTGGTCAACAAGTTGGCCATGTGCCACACATGTTGTTAGCTTGAAGATCAAGCTAACTATGTGGCCCACATGTAGAAAAACTTGCCTTATAAGTCAAGGCATGTGTCCTACAAAGTCAACACATATTAAAGGTCCTATAGAATGTCGCCACGTACCCCCTAGTTAGATAGTGTATATAAAAACAAGAGTGAAGCCTTCTTCACTCTTATCAACTCTTTTCTTGCTTCCAGTCTAGTTTCAAGGGTCTCTAGTTTTCTTGTCTTTTGGCAATAGCCATTCTAGTTTCTCTTTCAATATACATACTTATTTATTTATATTTTGTTAACTTTCTTTGAGTAAAGGCTCACTTATCTGAATTGATTTTTCATCGAGTTCTTGTCCTTGACAGATTGACAAGAGTACACCTATAATATCAGAGCTTTGTCTAATCTTGATTAAGAGTGGATTACCTCTTTTTCTTGATAAGATATAAGCATATTAGAAGTTGCGGATTACCCTCTTCTAAACTGATATTGTCCTTAGTATTTTCTTTGTTCTCAAGTCCTCTCTTCTATTTGTGTTGAGCGATATTAGACATCTTCTCTCTTCTAAGTGTTATCATGGCAGAACTTGTTGAAATGAAGAGTACAATGGCACAAATGTAAGAGCAATTGAGGGAGTTAATGCTTGCGATGCATCAACTCAATTTACCACCACAAGGAACAACAAGATTGATAAGAAGTGAAGATATAGAAATGGTTGGAGCTGCTTCAACATCTGCACCAAATCATGTCCTTTCTCCTATGATGGAACGTCCTTCAAATATTAGAGAACTAAGAATTGCCCTACCTAAGAAGTTTGATAGTACCAGATTCAAGTTTCGAGGATTTATCAATCAATTGCAACTTGTGATTGAACTTCAACTCCAAAGCTATCCAACTCCAGGATCGCAAGTTAGATTCATTAGTACACTTCTTTTAGGTTCAACACTATCATAGTTTTCATCTTTTCTTGAATGACGAGATCCAATATTAGATAATCTAGAGGCTTTTCTGGCGGAGTTTTGATCTATGTATGGAGAACATGATACAATTTGTGTTGCAACCAATAAGATCCGTATTTTACGACAAGGTAAT